AACAACAAAGGAGAGAGAGAGAGAGAGAGAGAGAGAGAGAGAGAAAGAGAGAGAGAGAGATTGGGTTTACCGTTCACTCGACACAATAGGTCATTTCAGGACTAACACATGGTTCATTTTTTTTCCAATAATTCGCTTGCACATAGGGGTTTTTAGCAGTGGGAGGAAACTAACAAGGTTGGACAGGCGACCCTACTCCTTGTCACGTATAAGCGGAAAGTCTAAACCGCGCCAGTTGACTCAATGACAGATTTCACACACAAGCGTTAAAGGACAATATTGGTGCCAGTCATTATCACATATGTGTTAGAGCTGGTTAAACACATTCCAAATATACTTTTAACACAGAGATCATTGCTACGATAGCTGAGTAATACAGGTTTCCCGTATCGGAAGTGACGAACGCCAAAGGAAAACACGAGTCGCCGCTCTATATACCTGACTGAAGCGACGAGTGATAACAGATACACGGCCGAATTTCTACTCACTAATAATTCCTTCGAAGACCAAAAGTTGTTATATGGGACTGTAAGAGGATATCTGACAATTCAATAAAGTAATTGAATGTCATTAGATAAGAGAACACGAGAAAAATAGAAATAGTCCGTACATTCCCTTGTTTATATTCATTCTATATACCTTATAAAAACACGGTAATGCACGGACATTTTCTGTTTTTCTTTCGTGTTCTCTTATCTAGTGGCAGTCAATTCTTTTTATGAATTGTCAAATATCCTCTCACAGTCTCACACAACAACTGTTGGTCTTCAAAGGAATTATTAGTGAGTAGAAATTCGGCCGTGTATCTGTTATCACTCGTCGCTTCAGTCAGGTATATAGAGCGGCGACTCGTGTTTTCCTTTGGCGTTCGTCACTTCCGATACGGGAAACCTGTATTACTCAGCTATCGTAGCAATGATCTCTGTGTTAAAAGTATATTTGGAATGTGTTTAACCAGCTCTAACACATATGTGATAATGACTGGCACCAATATTGTCCTTTAAAGGGCTAATCCCGATATTTTTTGGAAAATAAAACTGCCTAATTTTGTGTTAAAATCCCTTAAAATCCTCTAGCTAAGGGCCGAGCAACTAACTCAATATTTGTGATAAGTTTTCAAACAACTTAAACCCGTCAGTCTTCATCTGGAAATGGAGACCGGTGTCTCAAGCTGTATTATGCGGTGTCTGGATAAAACCAGACTTTTATTTTATAAAAATAATGTGTAGGTGAAATTTACCTTTCGTTATCAAGTAGAGCACATTGGTCATTCACTATATAGACCTCTCAAGAAACGGGAATCGATTATCAGGTGACCCAACGAAAAAACTGACCCGAAATCTTAAAAAGGTTACGTGTCCGGATAAGCAGTTTTGACGTTCACGTCCAAACGACTCAATATTTTGAGCTGTAATTTTGAGACAAGGTAAATACACCATCTCTATATTTTGGAGCTTAAATTCCATACGTACTGCGACTTTTATTTTTGAGACTCTCTTGAAATCGGGATAGTCCCTTTAAACTACAAGACCATCCGTCCCTCCCCAAACAACAAAGGGGTTTGTGGCTCATGAAATTGATTGACAGATGAACAGACAACCATATATTGAACGAAGTAGAAAAATATATAATGATTTATTGCTTGTCAAAAGAGTTTATCATTATGGGTTGTTAGAGAAAAGATGACAGTTGAAATATTTATTCCTGGATGTTATTGACAGACGAGTTGGTAGTCTTGGTGATATTTGAAGTAGGATATGATATCGTTGATATCCACTATACATCAATGGTTGCAGTTATCATATCTTATAGATATGTGCCATGGGGTTGATGATAACAGAGCCAAATAAAAACATAATAAACTCATATACATGTTTGCAGGGGCGGATCCAGGAATTTTTGCAGGAGGGGTTTGTCAGGTTCTTGTTAAGGAAATTATACAGTTGACAATGCATGATGCTATCATCGTCTCTAAATTACGTTGACATACATACACACTGAGGTTTTTAAAGAGAGAAATCCAACACTCTGTTTGATGTCAATTTTTATTGTGAAGTAAAACGATCACATTGTGATTTAGTTTCATTGATGCAAAGCATTAAAGGTCACCGGAAAAGCATCAATTTTTTTTTAAAATAATGCAAGTAATTATGTCAACATATCCTTTCCATAAGTATAACCCGAGCCCGAACGTCAATAATACCTGCAACAGGTAAATTTCAACATTAGTAATTTCCGCCGTTCTCCGTCGGTAGTCGGAACTTTCCGTCAATAAGCAATCCGTGACGTCATTTTAGTCCTTCTGCACATAGAAATATAGACTAGAATATGAGCAGAAGGACTAAAATGACGTCAAATTTACGGAAAGTTACGACTACCCACGGAGAATGGCGGAAATTGCTAACGTTGAAATTTACCTGTTGCAGGTAATATTGACATTCGGGCTGTGTTATACTTATGGAAAGGATATGTTGACATAATTACTTGCATTATTTAAAAAATTTATGAATCTTTTCCGGTGACCTTTAATTGTGATATCACATATGTCTATATCAGTATCTCGCGTTTTGTATGCCCATCCCATCCCACCATCTGATCATAAAGGATAAGAAACACAACTGTGCCCCACCCCCCACACGGATCCGCCCCTGGTATGTATACAAGATAAATATGTTGCCAGAAAACGAAGCAGGTACGTGCGATGCGGTTGACGGTAGAGAGCATTGATATAGCCGAATGCGGGTTTTTTTATAAGCAATATTTTTATTCTGATTTGTATCTGAATAGGGATAGGGGAACCGGCATAGCCTATATTAAACACTTCTGAGGTTGTCGTCCAATATAAAATAAACTCATCAATGTTCACATGGGGTAAATGTAGGATGCCAAGAAACGCAATATGCACTCACTGCAACTTTGGTCGTAGTTGTATTTTTTACAATCTGATTAAAATACAGATCCTATTTCGTTTCGTTTTACTTATCTTTACTACACTCATACTCCTCGCAGTGTTTCGTTTGATTATACCTAATCCCACTAAACACTGCTTTAACCAAAGCAAATTTCTGTTCCAAATTATGACTGGTCAATGGTCCGATTAACAACCAATAGCTAACTGCGTTACAAAAGCATTACGCTTAAAACAGGGCTCCAAATTGGACCAAATATGTTGACATAACTTTACGTCATGATTCACGATTTTATTAGGCCCAATTAACCAGTGCACAGCAGAATATTGCAGAAAAACTAATTGCGTAACAAACGAGGCTATCAAATCGAAAACAATGTAATCAATACTGTTTGGAGACGGACATACTTTCACCGTTTTTAATACTTTAAATCACTGTAAAGTTTATGGACGACCCAGATTAAACGAAGGGCTGTCATGTTGCTGTACTTGGGATAGATTTGATTGAACGGGAAGAATAGACAAACTCCCTCAAAACCTCAAGTACCAGAAGCAAATCCAGCAATGGCCAGAGAGGGATTTCTTGGGCTATTGCTTCAGGAATATGTATACTACACTAGGATCTGTTACTTGGAGTTCTTGGTATGCGATGCACGAAGTGGGTAAACCACTAGAAACGTCAACGCTGATTAGTTAATCAATGTCTGAAATCATAGATCAAAAGTCGCGACCTCCCACTACAACTGGTCAGATCGTCATGTAGTGTAGGCCATCGATAGTATAAAAAAACGAAACGAAATATAGATGTGTATTTGAATGAGATTGTGGTTTATAGATACCCGTACTGGAGTTGAAGGGGTAGAGTTTGTTCTATTGATAAACAAATTAACACCAGGTAAATGTTGGTTGCCAGGTAACCAGGTAAATACACCAACTGTGGTAGTTATCATAAAATATGTAAGATCAAGACAAAAATATTTGTTTAATATCACACCACTACAAGCATGTTACAAACATAAAAACATACATCATCTTTCAATCAAACCACACAATAGAAAGCAATACATGAAAGAAGGGTTTTACATAAGCTAAGCCTGAATAAAAATATTGTTTATTAAAAAATACAAAAATACTTAACATTAAAGAATATAACTTAACAAAATAAAACACTTGAACAAAATACAGGCAGTTACATGTTGGCATATAACTATATAGATGCTGGAAGGATTCTCATAAAACACATTCTGAAATTATTCTGATAATATTACAAGTCTGGGTTCATAAAGGGTCATCTCGACAATTAAAGCTGTTAATGCACCCAACATGTGTTTTCTTTGGTGGGAGAGAGGGATGGGGTTTTACATGCACTCAACACAAACTAGGTCATTTCGAGACTAACATATGGTACAATTTTATTTCCATAATTTGTTTGCGTGCTAGATGGTCTTTATGCGGAGGAAACCCAATGATCAGGAGAAAACCCACGAGGTTTGGCAGGCGACCTTTCTACTCACCACATATAAGCTGGGCATAGAATTACGCCACTTGACTTAATGACAAAAATGAAATGAAATGGGCAGGAGCGTAAATGTGGGGGGGGGGGGTACACCCCCCAGGAAAAAAAATTGTCAGTCGCAAATTCAGTGCAGTCGGTTGCAAAATAAGAGCAGTCGGTATCAAAATAAGTGCTCACTGCTCGTTATGTACGCCCCTGGAAATGGGGTTTAACGTCCTACTGTTCTGCTCCTAACCTGGGCTAATGACGACGGGCATACGCCATACGCCATACAGCGTGCTATGAGGTAAATTTTGCCCGGACAGCGGCGCTACGGACTACTCTTATATCAAATTCCAACTGTCAAGGGATCTTTTACGTGCACGCCAATGTGTACAAGGGACCTCGATTTTTTTTGTCCCATCAGAACGACTTGACAGAACTTATGATCTAATTCACACACGTTAAACCACGTTGGTATAGGATATATATATATTAATACCTAGACAAGTGGTAAATATCTATATGTAGTATCTCTTAAATAAAACTTAGACATTTGGAAATTCAATGTATTGATAGGAATCTGGGGCCTAACTAAGATAAAATCCAAATTTTAGTAATTTGATTGGATAATATTAAATTGATTTTAGTCTTTAGCCAATCAAAATTGAAGTATCTACTAAAATTTGGATTTTATCTTTAGTTAAGATTTAGTGAAACAGGCCCCTGGATTTAAAATATGTGATAATGACATACATGTGATTTATGCCATACATGTGATTAAATTTTGGATATTTATAACAATTATTGGAATTTGACCTTTTCATAATAATGTAAAAAGATCTGGATTTTCATGAAAATCTGATAAGCAATTAAAACACAAACTTATAAAATGTTAAATCAATATTGGATTCGTAGAGGATTTAATGCAACAGTGCCCTTAGGATATTACCGGCCCACAGTGACTCTCATATTATCGAAAATTTGAAATATCATCAGAAATTTTCTGTTAAATTTTCAGACGTCCTTAGTAGACGGCCTGTTCAACTGCACATTCCTCACCTTCCCACAATGCAGTACTGTCTAATGTCTAAAAATAGGATTTAAGGTCCACTGGACACAAACTTGGTCATTTTTGGACTTATATATGGTCTTTAGTAGTGGAAGGAAACCGGAGGACCTGCAGAAAAGCGGACGAGGTTGGACAGGCGACCCTACAAATAGGTTTTATTAAAAGAAATAACAATAATACATTAGCACTAACTTGTAAATAAAATCAATATATTAATATATAAAATATCTTTCTTTGTCTATTTATTCACATGTACATCAACAATTGTGTTAATAAAAAATATCTCTTAACCTTCAGTCATCACCATTTGAGAGATTTTGATTCTCTTGCTAACGATCTGATTCAAAACACAGATCCTATTTCGTTTCTTTTTTTAAAATTCAAAATTTCGTTTTATTTGTCTTCACAACACTCGAATCTGGAAGATTTGTTATTTAACAGGCGTTCTGGATGATGTGAGGAATTAGCCAATAAAACTGTCTGTTATAGTGAGTTTAGGCGTGAGGTGCACAGAACTGTGGGTAACCCAATAGAAACATCAACGCTGATTGATTAATCAAAGTCTGACGTCATAGGGTCAAAAGCCATTCATATGACCTCTGACGCAACCTTCCACTACAACTAGTCAGATCTTCATGTAGTGTAGGCCATCGAAAGTATAAAAAAATGAAACGAAATATAGATGTGTGTTTTAATCCGATTGATTCTAAAAGGAATTTTAGTCAAAAATGGTCCAATCACTTTAATCCCATTCAATATGTACAAAAGATAAGATCAATAGAAATAAATTAACACTCAGCATTTCATACTGATGATATCAACAAGGTATGATGAAAACACACCTGTATCAACAAGGTATGATGAAAACACGCCTGTATCAACAAGGTATGATGAAAACACGCCTGTATCAACAAGGTATGATGAAAACACGCCTGTATCAACAAGGTATGATGAAAACACGCCTGTATCAACAAGGTATGATGAAAACACGCCTGTATCAACAAGGTATGATGAAAACACGCCTGTATCAACAAGGTATGATGAAAACACACCTGTATCAACAAGGTATGGACAAAACACGCCTGTATCAACTGGAAGTGTTAGATCAAATATCTGATTATGTATTGCTGATATTTTGGGGTATATTTTTATATTGATAACATGTTAAACAAATAAATCTGAGTATAATTAAGCCGTGAAACTTTAGACAAATGAAAATTTGATTAATTTTGTGTATTCTAATGGACAACTGCTCAACAAAACATAGGCAATATAAGAAAATAGTGATAATACCAAGTTTCTATATGAAGAATCACAATTTTGATAAAAATATGAAAATTTTAAAGACTTAAAAATATCCTAAATATGCCCTGCAGGTAAATATATTATAACCAACATGGATTACAGGTAATTACATTAACAATACAGTCCATGGGATATTACAATAAAACCATGGACATTACATTAAAACCAATATAGCCTCCTGATAGTACAGCCTCATGGACATTACAATAAAACCAATATAGCCTGCTGATAGTATAGCACCATGTATATTACAATAGCCTCCTGATAGTACAGCTCCATGGACATTACAATAAAACCAATATAGCCTGCTGATAGTACAGTTCCATGGATATTACAATAAAACCAATATAGCCTGCTGATAGTACAGCCTCATGGATATTACAATAAAACCAATATAGCCTCCTGATAGTACAGCTCCATGGACATTACAATAAAACCAATATAGCCTGCTGATAGTACAGCCCCATGGTCATCACAATAAAACCAATATAGCCTCCTGATAGTACAGCCCCATGGTCATCACAATAAAACCAATATAGCCTGCTGATAGTACAGCCCCATGGACATTACATTAAAACCAATACAGCCTGCTGATAGTACAGCCTCATGGACATTACAATAAAACCAACACAGCTGGCTAAAGAATGTTAAAGAACACAATATATACAGTTATATTAGGAATTACAAAGTGACTGTTGTGTGTTCAATGGTAGACTACCTGGTACCAGCTGCATGAAGTATTTATAGCTCAAGATTTAATTGTTCAGGAATTTACATGTAAAATAAAAATTAACCATTAACATAGGAATTTCAGACGTATAATCTCAATGGTACCTGTTAGCAGCTACATGATGTACTTGTAGTTCAAGATTTAATCGTTAAGAAATTTACATGTAAAATAAAGACTAAATCATAAACATAGGAATTTCACAAGTATAACCTCAACAGCAATAAATATCGAAACTTTAAAGTGAATGTTATGGGTTCAATGGTACCTTTAGTAGCTACACGATGTACTTGTAGTTGTAGTGTAACCTCAACAATACCTTCTTATTAAAGCCTTGTATCTACTGATTCACTGGGTATATCTTTTTGTTTAGAGTTATCTACCCTGTAATCTTTCTCTATAGAGTTATCTAACTTGTTTTCTACATCTTCTATAGTATCCGCCAATTTCTGGTTATGTGTCTCTGGCAGGAGAAAGATGAGAAATGCTGCTATAAAGGTCATGACCCCAAACACGATAACTGGTATCGAACTTGGTACAGAACTTGATGCAAATTTACTCTGCAAAATTAAAAAAAATTAAATAAGATGGTGTTCAGTCTGTCATATTTATAAAATTATGATGAAGGCATAAAAAGATCCTGTCAATTTCAAAATAAGAAAAAATGCTCCCGTAAAAAACTCTTCTTAATTATATTGCAAGAGTAATTCTACATTTTCTTGAATTAAGGAGAACCAATGTTTGGTGAATATGGTAACGTCAGAATCATCATCATAAAAACTGACAGCTTGAAGGAATTCAGTTTGAAAGTAAACAAAAACTGAAAGTATTTTATTAATCTCAATATTTAGGAGAGTTTCTTAGCTAATTTGTATGAGTGTTTAACAAGTCCCACCAAAGAAAGTCGAAGTAGTCGAGAGGAGCAGGAGTGAAAGTGCACCGTAAACGTAAAGGATTGGGGTTTAATATTCTATTATTCCGCACAAACTTGACGATGATAGGACGGAAATTTTGACCGAACAGTAGCATTTCCACCTACTCCTATCAAATTCATATGTCAAGGATTCTTTAAACTGCACGACAAGAACATGAGCAGACCATGTTTTGTCTGTCCCATCCAAATGACTAAGACACTTTTTTCCCCTTGTTAAGCCCTCCGCATTGTGAGGTTAGTAAACCAGCTCAACACTCAATGAATCACTATTTATTTTACACGTTGAGCCAGATTTAATTGTCTGAAAGCGCCACGGTGACTAAGTGGGTAAGATGCTGGCTCCCTAGTCTGAAGGTCGCATGCTCAAACCCTGCATTGGCCTAGAAAGTTCATCAGGATTTTCCAGCATGGTTTCCCCTTGTCAGTGGTGTAGTACGGAGGACCTGACAACGACATATGTCTGGTTGTGCACGTAAAAGATCACTTGGCAGTTGGAATTCTAGGTCGTAGCACGGATGTCCATGCAAAATATTCCTCATAGCACACTGAATGGCATATGCCCGTCTTCATTAGCCTAGTCGGAGCAAAACAGTAGGACTTAAAACCCTATTTCATTTCATATATGTCTGAAACTCAGATAGGACATCAATGGACCATAAATATTGACAATTTATTACACCTGACCATTCTAGATCCAAGTTTATACTCCCATCAAAACCCTTGTTCCAAATAACGAAGAACTTACCAAACTATTTATCTGAGGAGCAATAACGCCACCAAGTCTGGCCCAAAAAGCACAAGTCCCTAAACCAATATTTCTGAAATATAATTGATACACATCATTATATCACAAAACTATTTTAAGTAAAGCATGTTTAGTCTACAGACTCCACACTATGTCTCTGTTATTGCAATGAATAGAACAAATTCAATTCAAAATTTGAATGTATCAGTTTAACAATCAAAATGCATCATTTCAAATCTAAATGTAACATAATGTAACATTTCAAATCTAAATGTAACATTTCAAATCTTAACATTTCAAATCTAAATGGAACATTTCAAATCTAAATGGAACATTTCAAATCTAAATGGAACATTTCAAATCTAAATGGAACATTTTAAATCTAATTTTGTTTTTAAGGCAATAAACCTGTTGGATTCAAGTCAATATAAAGTATTGAACAGGGTTAATTTATTGTATTATTGTGATTAGCTCTATACAATTAGATCTTTGATTCGGAACAGTAAGTAAAAGCTGACTTGATTCGTTTCTTTGTCCTCGTGTGGACAATTGATTATATCATTCAATCAGATTAAAATACAGATTTATTTTTCATTTCGTTTTTTTTATACTTTCGATGACCTCTAATACATGAAGATCTAACCAGTTGTAGTGGGAGGTCGTGCTAGGGGTCATATGAGCGCTTTAGTCCCTATGATGTCAGACATTGATTTACATTGGTTTAAACACAGTTTCGTGAACAGCACGTTAAGAACTCGCATAACAGACCGTTTCAATGGCCAATTCCTTACATCAATCAGAATGCCTGTTACATAACAACTCTTCCAGATCCGAGTGTTGTGAAGACAAGTAAAACGAAATTTTGAACTATAAAAAAACGAAACGAAATAGGATCTGTGTTTTATCAGGTTGTCCCATTGTTAGATTTCATCTATAGATAGTCAAATTTGGAACAGAGACAGATTATCATCCAATAAAACAAATGAAATCAATAAATTATGGGTGAAATGATCCATGAACTAACCGTATAACTGTAGGATAAAGTTCAGACGTAAATAAGAAAATAACGCTGAACATTCCTGCCATTGAGAATCGACCAGCTATCGCAAAACCTGTTGATATCATTGTTAAATCAGTTCCATTTTCTGTAATAAATAAACACAATTAAATTATATCTATTGTTGAGGCTAAATGTTTACATGGGGGTGTAGTGGGGGGGGGGGCACAATGGTGAGGGGCAACAACGGGGGAGCCCCAATAATGGGGGAGGGAGGATCTCGGGTTGGCTCCGTGCATTGACTGAGAAAGTTCATCGGGATTTTTCAATGTGATTTCCCCTTATAAGTGGTTCAGTAAAGAGGGCCTGACAAGGATGGAGGGCCTGACCAGGATGGAGGGCCTGACCAGGACGGATGGCCTGACCAGGATGGAGGGCCTGACAAGGATGAAGGGCATGACAAGGACGGAGGGCCTGACCAGGATGAAGGGCATGACAAGGACGGAGGGCCTGACCAGGAACAGTGTGTATTTAGAAGGAATGAAAAAAGAGTTTCTGTACTGCCACTGTTGCCGCATAATTTTCCTCATAGCACACTGTATGGCGTATTTCCGTCTTCATTAGCCGGGTTGGACCAGAAAACCCTTATTGTTTTTATTTCTTAAATTTTATATTTTTTAAAAATAATTTACTTGCCAATACTCACTAAAATGACAAAGAAATCAAATTGGTGAGTAGTTTAAGTAGCTAATGATTAACCGAAAGGCTTGAATTGATCCAATGGAAGCGTATGTTAATTACTGTAATAAAATTATTACCTGATATTTTCGGCAATGCTCCAGCAATAATGCACGTAATGGAAGCAACAAATGCATAAAATATCATGGGTTTCTTTCTTCCAAAACTATAAATAGAATCATGACTCATTATATTATTTCAGTTGTCAACACAGTTGTAGCAGACGTCAATCCTGGGGATTTTGTTTTCTTGAACTGACAATAATTAGTTGACACACAAATAGAACAGTTTTAAAACAATCTTCGAAAATTATAATAATAATAAGGCTTCTTATAGAACGCTTTACACCAAACAGTATTATATGCTTAAAGAGCAGAGAAAAGTTTCAGGAAATCACTAATGCTAGGTTCCTACTGTCGTGCGACAAAATAATAGGATTGTCCCTACTGAGTCGACAATCTGGATCAACACATTAGCTACGATTGACCACAACGATTATTCCACAATTAAAACCATGATTTCAATCATATGCTACGATTGACCACAATAGGATCACAACGACTATTTCACAATTAAAACCATGATTTTAATCATAGGGTGAATAGCGATCGTGGGAATCTAGCATTATAAATATGATTTAAACAGGTATGTTTTGAAATGAGGCCATCTGTATATTCAATGAGTTCTATAGATATACAACCAGGTTTTACTGTGGAACAGTTAATAACAACTTGATGTTGTCATATAATAACAACTTGATGATGTCATATAATAAAAACTTGATGTTGTCCTATAATAACAACTTGATGTTGTCATATAATAAAAACTTGATGTTGTCATGTAATAACAAGTTGATGTTGTCATATAATAACAAGTTGATGTTGTCATATAATAACAACTTGATGTTGTCATGTAATAAAAACTTGATGATGTCATATAATAACAACTTGATGTTGTCATATAATAAAAACTTGACGTTGTCATGTAATAACAACTTGATGTTGTCATATAATAAAAACTTGATGTTGTCATATAATAAAAACTTGATGTTGTCATGTAATAAAAACTTGAAAAAAATCTGTACTTACAATCTCATGACACCTATAGCCAGAACATAAGCTATAAACTCTACAACTGCACCAATAAAAAAGTTCAGATATTTATTTCCTGCTAGACTCGTTATTTTAAAAGTTAGACCATAGTATCCTACAGCTACTGCTACCCTGAAAAAACACAACACATGAATATTGATAGAACCATCTGAAACCAAGTCATTATCACCCACAATGGACAACAGACCAACAGATGAATTTTGATAGAACCATATGAAAACAAGTTATTATCACTTAAAAATATATACCTCTACCCATACAATATTTAATGGAAGTCTATGAAAATCAATAGACTTCTTCATCTCATGAACATAAACACGGTGAATATAATGAGTCAATTGGATGATAATTGATAGAACCAATTGACAGACTTAATGGAAGAATGGACGAATGGCCAGAGGTGATGGCAATCTAATACAACCACTTTCAACTTTTAAACAGTAATTTGTTCAAATGTTTGCCCAGAGATAAAGATATGTATGTTAATTTATATAGGAAATTGACCTTAAATTTGAAAACAAACAAATCTAATACTCTAGAAACTGGGTTCCTTGTTCAATAAAAGATAAAAAAATGTAAACAGCATACATAAATTTCAAAACAATCAGTTGATAAATTTAAGTCTGTAGAGTGTTCGGGGGATCACAGTGGCTAAGTGGGTAAGACACTGGCTCGCTAGCCTGGAGGTTGGGTGTTCGATCCCTGCATTGGCCGAGAAAGTTCATCCAGATTTTCCAGCGTGGTTCTCCCTTGTCAGTGATGCAGGTCGAAGTGGCTGACAAGGAAAGCTGTCTAGTCGTTTGGATGGGACAAAAAACCGAGGTCATGTAAAAGATCCCTTGACAGTTGGAATTTGATATAAGAGTAGGCCGTAGTGCCGCTGTCCCGGCAAAATTTCCCTCATAGCACACTGTATGGCATATGGTCCTCTTCATTAGCTCAGTTCGGAGCAAAACAGTAGGATGTTAAACCCCATTTCATTTCATTTCATTTCATTTCTGTAGAGTGTTCACAAGAGTGGATGACATACGGATGGGCTAGATGACAATATACAACCATAGACCTTATGAAACATGTATTATAAGGTTCATGATACAGATGGACGAGACGACAATATACAACCCTACCTCCAGGCTAACGAGCCAGCGTCTTACCCACTTAGCCACGTGATCCCCATGTATTATAAGGCCCATAATACAACCAGATAGAATAAAATTTACTCACCAACAATAAAACATGATTAGACTTCTCTTTCTTAACTCTGGTGTTTTTAACAAATGTATAAAATTATAATTTGTACGACTGTAATCTTTAATACTTTGATTTTTTATAATTTCCCATGTATCAGTGGGAACAGGAAGTTTATTAACACGACATGTTTTCTCGATGAGTTTCCCAGCCTCGTCAAATTTCTTCCTCATTATCAACCATCTTAATGACTCGGGTACAAAACTAGAATTATAAAATTAAAATATTGTTGTAAATGAGGAGTTTTATAAAGGTCATGTGATTAGTGTGACGTAACTGATGTAAAACGAATCACTTATTATAGAGCTACCAAACTATCAACACGTCGCTTCTACAGGTCATCTACTTGAGTGTTTGATGGTTCAACATAGTAAGTCACAAAATATAATAATATAAAGACAGATTAATGGTGGATACACTAGGTAGCTCGGTGGTTACGGGTTTCAGCTGGGGAGGTTTCAGCATGGCTAAATCTATTTGTTAAGGACAGCTCAATTTTTATTAAGGTCGCAGAGATATAAATAAGGTTAGGGCACGTAATTGTTGACGAGATTGTAGGTTAGGGTTAGGGTAAGCATTGGGACTAGGTCCAGGGTTAGGGTTGGGATTAGCGCTAGCCTGTTTACTTCTAGTGACCTATGACAGAAAATTGAGCGGGCCTTATCATTTAACACTAACTGTTTCAGCGCAGCTCATTTCAATGGTATAGTAAAGGGAGATAACTCCAATTTTGAGGTCACCAATTCTGGTTGCTTCATTTGAATATGTTTTGTTAATTATTTATACTGGTCGTTAACTAAATCAATAAGTAGAGACATGACAAACAGTGTGTATCAGAATGTGATACTGATGTACAACTGTGTAGTATAATCAGAATACATTCTAAAGTGTTCCAAACGGCATGCAAGGACAAGACTCTTGGACACTTGACAAACATTCGGCTGTCCAAGACATTAAACGTCATTCTCTTTCTTTCTGTACATCTATATCTCACCGTATTTATTTGAAAAATGTTTTAAAATCTTCCTGAATAATTTCATTAATCGTCCTTTAGTAATTTAATAAAAACAACTGCTTGTTCTGCCCCAAAAACTTGAAAAAGCTCTTCAAAAAATCCAAAATAATGACTTACCATATATAAAAAGCAGCAAGAACACTGGGTATACTAATAGCAAGCTGAATATATCGCCAATTACGTATAAAATATGCCAGACCTGCTACAGTTATTACACTTGCTCCCCAAAAACATTCTATAAATGCACCGATATACGGTCGATGTCTCGGGACAACCAGTTCCATGGCCAGAATATATGATGATGTCTGGAGACCCTGAAAGTTTAACAGAAGTTGATTCTATCAGTCCTAATAGTTTGAAGCTGGAAATTCTGTGTAGTAAAATACAATTGAAATGGGGTTTAAAGTCCTATACTTTTGCACTGACATGGATAAAGAGAGAGGGAATTTCGGGACTAACATACGGTTCAATTTTATTTGAATAATTCGCTTGCACCTCAGTGGTCAAGAGGAGTGGGAGGAAACCGGAGGACCTGGAGAAAACCCACAAGGTTGGGCATGCACCCTACTCCTTGTCACGTACAACAGGTGAATCGAAACCACGCCAGTTAACTAAATGACAGATCTTATGATGCAGCGCGCACGCGTTAATCATTCGGTCACCCAGCCAACCTTGACTGGGAAAATGACGACGCTCATTTGACGGACATTTTGTTCTGACAGTTGCGCTACAGACTACTGGTATTTCAACTGTCTAGGTTTTTTATCATGGACGCCAACGTGTGTTCCTTTTCTCCGTCCTAGCTAAACAATCATACAACGTTCTGTTAGGCCGTCCGTCCTGCATCAATGACAACGGAAAACCATGCAGGAAATCACAAGACCCAAGGGCCTGACAAAAAGCAGAAAAAAATTATATTTAACATTTACCTGCATGAGGATACCTTGAAAAAATCTCAACACAACAAACAAGATGTAGGAGTTAGCGAATGAGATACCAATACCAATAGGTATCGGTAGATATAAACATAACAACATAATTGGCCGTCTACCAAACTGATCCGCAAACCAACCAAACAACAGACCACCAACCATTACACCACAGAAATATATTGTAGTTGCTAGTCCACTTAAATAGGAATCATCACAAACCAGGTCCCACTGTAAATAAACACAATAATATCATCACAAACCAGGTCCCACAAACATAACAAATAATCATCATCACAAACCAGGTCCCACTGTAAATAAACACAATCATATCATCACAAACCAGGTCCCACTGTAAATAAACACAATAATATCATCACAAACCAGGTCCCACTGTAAATAAACACAATAATATCATCACAAACCAGATCCCACAAACATAACAAATAATCATCATTACAGACCAGGTCCCACTGTAAATAAACACACACATATCAAATAATCATCATCACAAACCAGATCTCACAAACATATCAAATAATCATCATTACAGACCAGGTTTCACTCAGATCTTTCACTTTCATATACATGGGGTGTGGGCTGTTTCGTAACCTGGCTATTTCGTACCTAGTTCATTCATACCACAAATCATCACCAATAATTGCAACTCACACATCAGAATAGTTCAGTAGCAGTATTTGTTTTTGTTTTTTTCAAATATCAAATATCATCAACTGCAATATGGTAGCAGTGTCATCATGTCTTATCACTCAGTTGCAAAAGTAATCTAGGTGACGTGAAATCACATGCATGTTCTAATTCTAATTCAAATCATTTAATGATGCGGTAAGGTTTCACCTTTATTTCAGTTTATTTTAACATATATACGAAAGGTATGAATCAATCTGAAGTACGAATGAACTAAGTACTAAACAGCCAGGTTACTAAACAGCTCGCATCATATACATGCATCTAGGATTTCTTCCTTAAAATTTGAAAAACTCCTCTCGGTGGTGAATTATTCCCAAATATTTCCATATACACTGTACGTGTACCCAAATATACCCTTAAAATTACAATTTCATTTTTTCTAAGAAAGCCAAAACCTAATTATTTCTATGTCTTTTGCTCAATAGGTTGTCAACTCACTATTATACGATCATAGGTTATCTTTCTCACACTTAAAAATCTTCACACCGGAAATAATAACACAATTACCTCCCTTGTTTTCCCATTTCCCACCGTGGAATAGCTATCTTCAAACGTTTGAATTTGAAGTTGAACATGATATTTTTGCAAATTTCTCAACTGGCAATAGTAAATTATAGGATTAATAGGATTATTCTTTAACAAGGTAGGACTGTTTATAGATGCCATCTATTTCAGGGCTTTATTTTAATAAATTTAAAAATATGAAATTGTAACTTTAACTCATGATCATACACTGTGGACCCGAATATTTTTTTATACTGTGGACCCAAACATTTCCTTAAATCATACATGTGTACCAATTATTACTACCAACCTTTAAATACTTGATAATATTTATCCATTTTTGTGAAGAAAATCGATGAATTATTTATTTTATCCAAAAAAGCACATGTCGTATTTCTATCCAGTTTGTTAAAACACAATACGTAACATGACAGCCCTTCTCTTTGATCTGCTGTGTGGTCCAAGAGATGATAAAAAGATTCCAGTGCACAGCGCGGTTTACATTGTACATGTAGCTATTTTGGATAGCCTCGTTTATAACACAAATAGTTTCTCTGCAATATTCTGTTATGTACATGTTAATTGAGCCTAATACATTTTGTGAGTTCTGACGTAATATAGCCACGTTTGTCACCAGACACTTTATGATGACATATTTAGAGCCCTTGTTAATCCCGATTGATTTTGTTACGTTCTTATGCACTGGTTGTTGATTGGACTGTTAACAAGTCATATTTTCGGAAAGAAATTCACGATAAGTATGGCACTGTTTGAGTGGAATAGGGTCTAATCAATCGAAACACTGCGAGGAGTATGAGAAATATCTTACCTCTGTAACTATCGTCTTCTCTCGATCATAACCATAAAACATCCAGTCATCTCCAGAACATTTCATAGATCGCGTTTCATTATTATCAAATATCAACTGACTCTCACATTTCGCATTTTTCGTATCAACCAGAACGGCTGAAATTCCAGAAATGTTCAAGTGTTTTCCTGCTACACACGTGTGGGGTGGTGTGGAACCGAAAAACGCCATAATAACATGGTTAAAGACAAGAGGACAATAGTTTAACGCCAGACAAATAAAGATGAGTGTTTGATAACGACCCGGTTTACCCAAACAAGCCAACAACTCATCAAGGTGATTCGCCATTTTCTTTCCTTGATCCCCACCTTTCTCCTTTGACCAACCTGAAATAAATTACAGAAAAATTCAATTGAAAGGCCAAATTTAAAGATGGGTTCCCAGAAAAGTATTTATCGGGTGGTTATTTCCAATAAAAGTATGATAATTTTGTATATATGGAAAGTAGAGATATCAAATCTTACTAGAAAAATACTGGATTCCCCGAAAAACACTCATGGAGCGTATACAGGACAAAAATGTAAGGGTTCCCCTAATCGACAGCCCGACGATTAGGAATTTCTGCACGCGTGATGTCAAAGGTCACATGCGAACATTGAGCGCTTGATGTACAAGTTGATAATCTTTATGAAGTTTTAGACGTACAACACTTTCTGAGATAAAAATGACGGAAAAAGACGCGGGTAGTGGATAATCCGAGAATTTAATTAGGATTCGATATTTGTAATAAATAGTATGCAATTAAAGACAACATCATCTTATGTCTGCAATGAATTCTCCCCGGACTTCCAAGAGAGGTAAGTCACATGACGTACATGTAAACATGACCTGGTTTGATCGAATTTTTATAGCAGGACATTCCTTCGCAAAAACAATGTTTGAGAAGGATTTGAAGCAAAGTTATAACAAATTAATTAGTTTGAATATGTTTTTAGTCCATATATACCATTAAATCACCCAGTTTGTACGCGTGAATACGCGGGAACCCATCTTTAATAAAGGAGCCTGGAAAGCCGAATGATCCAATGCATGCGCTTTATATCATAAGGTCTGTAAGTCATTGAGTCAAGTAATGTGGTTTCGATTTCACAAGGAGTCCTTTAAACAAACATTATGCAAGAACTAAATCTGCCTATTGCAGGTCTTTCTTTAGGCCTGAAATGTTTTCTAAAGTATTAATTAGACATTAATTAACTGATCCAGGCCTTAATCAAGTCTCGATGGCATCAGATTTCTCCGATATTAAATAGATTAGAATGGTTCAGCGATACTTTGATTTAATCAAATATGGAGGACCGAGACTTAGCTTCGATCAACCAGTACGGTGGTTGAAATTATTGCACACGCCTGTCAAACCTTCAAACGCTAATATCTTCGCTTGCAATAGAGTAATTTGAATGAAATTTTCAAATTATTCATTTTACTTCAACTACTTTCGAACTATTATAGCAAGAATGGCTAGTTCTTTATCTAATGTTATATAATTTATCTTTAACAGAGGAGGTTGGACAGTCGAATAATCTAATATGTGTGCTTTAGGTCATAAGGTCTGTCATTGAGTTGAGTGATGTGTTTACGATCCCACACTTGCATTTCACAAGGTGTGGGGATGCCTGTCTAACCTTGTGGGTTTTCTCTGGGTCTTTCGGTTTCCTCCCACTGCTAATAACCTCTTACTCGCAAGCAAATGGATCATATGTTAGTCCCAAAATAACATAGTTTGAGTTTAACAATCAAATTGTTTGAATTAAACAGTTAAAAAACATTTGAATTTAACAGTTAAAAAAAACATTTGAATTTAACAGTTAAAAAAAACATTTGAATTTAACAGTTAAAAAAAACATTTGAATTTAACAGTTAAAAAAACGTTTGAATTTAACAGTTAAAATGTTTGAATGTAATAAGTGAAAAGTTTGAATATAGTAAGTCAAAATAATTTGAATTTAACAGTGAAAATGTGTAAATTTAACAGTCAAAATGTGAGAATTTAATAGTCAAATTGTGTGAATTTAAACTGTTTGAATTTTACAGTCAAAACGGTAACGATAATAAATTCTATAAGGTTCTTGATTATACCCTAATGAAAAATCGATCATAGTTTTGAAAATTCAATTTACTAACACATATTCACAAGATTTTATTATCTGGTGTTACGGACCTACTTATATCAGTTTCAAGTTCTCAACCTTAGATGATGGCTTGTAGGTTTAGTCTAAGTTCGGATCACAAGCCACCCCCATATGTGCTACTACGGGCAGTCCTTGTGTGTATTCGGTGCCGTAGAAAATCTCAGACTGGACGTAGAGACTTTTAGTCTTGTACATACAAAATTTTAGTTTCTTTCGTGGTCAGTGAGCTACCAAACTATAAGACCTGTGCGTGTCAAAACACATACGGCAGGTTGTGAGCTTGGCTTAAGACAACATACAATAATAGAACAACTCACTTCTTGATATAATCTGGTAACATATAATAACCTTAAAACTAGAATAATAATGACCAGCAACTAATAATAATAATACTATAATAATTCTATAATCTGGTAACATATAATAACATTAATAGAACAACATACTTCTTCTAGATAAAATTCTATAATCTAGTAACATATAATATAAGAACAATAACGACCAACAGGTTAGACAACTTCAGGAGTAACAGCAACTAATAAATATCATATCTAAATCTAGAATATATTTTCTTGTCTTTGTGACAAGTTTAAGTGATCTTGTCTTCATGGTAAATGATATTTTCTTGTCTTGGTGACAAACAAATTGTGTATAGCATCAAGTTGACATGGATTGGAGTCTAGGTAACCAACATTACATTAAGGTTAGAATAAGGACAATCTATGGCTGTAAATTACACAATGTTTTATTTCACATCATACCTACATCCCTGTATTTGAGCAAAATGTCCTATTACGTGAATAGTTAGTGACAATCCTGTACATGTATGATCATGATACCTGTAGACCTACATGTATGATGATGACAAGGTGATTCTAAACCGTGTCAAACTTACAGTGTGTAGTTAAATTGTGCTAATTGTCATTCTAATTTAATTAGTAGTTTAATAGTGTTTCATTACATGTATTTAAAAATAGACACAAAGCGTGGAAATACACCTACACAGTCCGCTATGTCTAAAAATAAGTTTAGCCATAGACAGTAGATTATCCAAAAGGGAAATGAGGTTTAACGTCCACTTGACATAAATTTGGCCATTTCGAGACTAACATATGGTTTAAGTTTATTACAATAATTCGCTTCTGCATAGGGGTCTTTAGTGGTGGGGGGGGAACCGGAAGACCCAGAGAAAACCCATGAGGTCGGACTAGCGAACCTACTCCTTGTCACATACAGCCGGAACCACGCCAGCTGACTCAGTGGCAGACCTAATGTCATGCTAAGCATTTGGCCACCCACTCCCCCATTATTCAAAAGGACAATTTGGATGTTGACCAAATTTGATTAGGATCACCTTTAGAAAAATCTGATCTCTATGATGTTCACAAGCTTTTCTAGAAGTGTAATATATCTAGGAAAAAGAAACTCCTAATTTACTAAAAAAACAACAGGATTCATACTCTCTGATCCCTAATCCTTCCCACCAAATTTGAAAATCAATAAGGACCATCCTCGACTGAAAAAAAATGTGGTTTGTTCTCTTACAGCTCTAATGCTTCACACAAACTTGAAAATAATTCATGATCACAATAATGCATAACTGCAAAACATAAGGTTGCACAATGCTCAAATGCAATAGGGTTCTTCCTCTCGTGATCCCAATGCTTCCCACTGAAATGTGGTTGTATAATGATGTCAGGCACTATTGAAGTAATACCCAACAGTTAAACTTTTTGCTAGACATATATAAATAAGACAAAGTTTAAAATATCTTTGATAAATTGACAGGCTACCAGATGGATTATGGCAGACACAGTCATCTAAATTTGTGCCTGTTAATATATTTGTGACATGTGCGTTATTTCCAGGTTTGAATTACCTGTTGAATGTACATGTACTGCATTATTTAGCTTACCTGTTATATACAGACAGTTTAGAATATTACCGTAGACTAGCAAATGGTTTTCTGTCACTGGTTGGTCAGCATTAACCAAGAGTGATTTTTACATGTACATCTTCTCTTGTTAAGCTTCATATTTTATCATCGCTAGAAAAGCCTAGTCCAAACCCCACTCAGTAATAACAATTTGGCTATCAATATTGTCTTGGTTCAGAAAGTTTTAACGTAATGGCATTCTTGATTAATTATGATAATCGTTTACTTCAACTGTACGTAGAGGAACCATATGCTGCCATCAGTTTTTCCATCTGTCGTAATTATCTACCATGGATAATTAAATTTATTTAAAATACGTACACAGCCATATATACGCAACAGAGATGGCAAAAGATGAAAGAGGACAGTTTTTATATACATGTAGTAAATTTAATATATTTGTATCTAAATGAGGGGAGTCGCGGTGGCTCGGTGAGTAAGACACTAGCTTGTTAACCTAAGGGCCCAGTGTTGACCAAGAAAGTTCATCAGAATTTTCTGACATGGTTTCCCCTTGCCAGTGGTGCAGGTCAGGGGACAACATATGTATATAGTCATTCAGATAGGATGAAAAACTAAGGTCCTTTGTACCCATTGGCGTACATGTTAAAGAACACTTGGAAGTTTTAATTCAATATAAGAGTAGGCTGTAGTGCTGCTTCCTGGGCAAAATGTCCCTCATAGCAGACTGTATGGTGTATGCCTGTCTTTATTAGCCCAGTCAGAGCAGCACAGTAGAACGTTAAACCCCATTTCCTTGTCATTTATTTAAAGTAAAGATACGCTAAACAGTAAATCTTATGCAAGAACCGACAGGAAAGCAAACATGGATAGTTTTCATCAACCCTTCCTTGTAGTGTCAAATTTGACAATGAACCCCTCCCACATGTATGGCGCTATGGCGTGTCGCATGTGCAGCTCAGTGGCTCTGTTGGGGCGATAAGCTCTTCATCCGTGATCAAAATGCATAGCTATTTGCATTTCAATATCAACTACTTTTTTTGAAGAGTAGGCCTATACATTCATATTACATAATCATATGCCTTGCTACCCATTTGTGTCAATTGCTAGCATATATATACATGTATAGCCCCTTTAACTGGTAAACCCTGTTTTTTTTCTGTTCCGTCTGAATGGCAAACTAGGTCATTTACGGCTTACACAAGGTTAAATTTTATTTCAATAATTTGCTCACACGTAGGGATATGTAGCAGTGGGAGGAAACCGGAGGTCCCAGAGAAACCCCACTGTTCAACAGATT